AATGGAAGAAAAATTCCTTATAAGTGGCCATTAACTCTGATTTATGCATGAAGACCTGAGGTAGGGAGGGCTCCCCTAACTCTCTCCTCCTTCATTTACTAAAAAAAAAAAAAAGAAAAATCGTCGACTCGCCTCACTTGTTCGTTAAGTCAAATCCAATCGCATTGTGTCGGGGAAACAGTGTGAATAAAGTTAAAGTGTGATATTAGAGAGAGCCACAGGAGGCTACCGTAACTCGGAGCCACACAGCCAATATATTGAAACATTAGTTGGTATTATATTGTCTGTCCCGGAGAGATAAAATTGTATCAGTATTAATGGTGCTATAAATTCCACGTGGCTGCGAGCTGTGTAATAAAGTAAGATATGAATGAATACACATGTATATACTGTATATAGTGTGTGTGTGGCCCTACGACTACTGCCACAACAACACTGGTCTCGACAACACGACTGGTGGCCGTCTAGACGCTGTCAGAAGGGACGGAAAATGCAGTGAGTCAATAAGGAGCTTTGGAGGTGACAGCAGCGCTAGCCATTAACACCACAGAGATAAGAGAATGTTATTGATTTAGGTAATGATTGGCAATTAGACCCGTGTGGTGAGACAGAGGAGGAACACGAGGTAATGAGCGCCAGGTATTGTTCTGCTGACGCTCCCACCCAAAGTCGTTATAACTTTTCAATAGAAGACGATGGGCTCATTTATGTCTCTGACGAGTGTGAGATGTTGTCACCGTCATCACTCACCTGCTGGTCCTTTGTTGACAGCAGCCTCCACCATCACACGCTAGCCATTAACACCACAGAGATAAGAGAATGTTATTGATTTAGGTAATGATTGGCAATTAGACCCGTGTGGTGAGACAGAGGAGGAACACGAGGTAATGAGCGCCAGGTATTGTTCTGCTGACGCTCCCACCCAAAGTCGTTATAACTTTTCAATAGAAGACGATGGGCTCATTTATGTCTCTGACGAGTGTGAGATGTTGTCACCGTCATCACTCACCTGCTGGTCCTTTGTTGTACCTCCACCATCACACTAGGTGGTGGCAGATGCTGCCTCCACCATCACACTAGGTGGTGGCAGATAGTGCCTCCACCATCACACTAGGTGTTAGCAGATATTGCCTCCACCATCACACTAGGTGGTGGCAAACGTTGCCTCCACCATCACACTAGGTGGTGGCAAACGTTGCCTCCACCATCACACTAGGTGGTGGCAGATATTGCCTCCACCATCATACTAGGTGGTGGCAGCTGTTCCCTCTACCTTCACACTAGGTGATGGCAGCTGTTACCTTCACACTAGGTGGTGACAGATGTTGCCTCCACCACTGGGTGGTAACAACAACAAATCCCGCTAAGAATCTTTACCACATTCTGTGAGTCAGTCTGGTAGTGTAAAGTGGAGAAAGTTTTAATTACGTGGGACAAAAGTGTTCAAACTTATGCTCTCTCTTTAACCACAACTCCAACATCAGAAGATCAAACGAAACAAAAGTAAGTAGTTATTATACCCGTTTGTATTGATCTGTCCTCAGGATACCTTATACTCATAGTTATATATATATATATATATATATATATATATATATATATATATATATATATATATATATATATATATATATATATATATATATATATATATATATATATATATATATATAATTCATTGATGCTATTTTATTATTACAGGATATTTTATTTTAATATTTCATGTTGTTATTATTAGTATAACTATTGTTAATGTTAATATTACTGTTTTTATGATTAGTAGTATAAACATTTTAATTATTTCCATTTTTTTTCTAATTAAGTAAAGTGATCGTAAACTGGTGATAAGATGAAGCCCTTCACTGAGGCGCTCTTTGTTTACTTTCAACTTCTGGGGAGCGTAGATCCGGGTTTTATAAAAGAGAATTTGGTATTATTTTAATCCAGTCTTTCATGACTTTGTTTAATGAAGAGCTTTCCGTCGCTAAGAATTATAAGTGAATGTTATCTATTGACACTTCCAGGTAATGAAGACTTGAGACGATGGTGTGTTATGTGATGAGGATAAGACTTAGTGATGGGCTGTGTGAGGCGTCCGGTGTGTGTGTTGCTGTCTTCACACTAGTAGGAATCCTCACCCCTGACGCCTCTCGTCTTCACTTGCACGGGTCACTTACCCCGCTTAACGCTCATTCCCAGTAACTATCCTCCAAGATTACTTAACTGCTTTAAAAAGTATATAACATTTCTTCCAGTCAATAAAACGTACCCGGCGCCCCAAATAAACTTATTCAAAGTTTTCTTGCGGGTGGGAGAAGGGCGGCGTGGGTTGACCATCCTGCTTGGCGACGGCGGTCTCAAGGGGACAGCTATAAGTGACACACGACTCAGGGCTTCCACATTTTTCTCACTTAGAATATTCCTGACATGTCCCACGATATAATCCAGGGAGTGAGCGGTTGGAGACGAGGACCCTGAGGCTAGGATGTTGACATGGGTCCTGCCTGGTTCTCTCTTTCAATTGCTGCTGTTGATGTTGGAAGCAAGAGACGTCAAGAATATGATTATCTAAATAGACTATCATAGTTTCTTTTTGGGGAGGAAGAGGAATTAATTTTAGAGATTAAGAAATTATATTGGTGGTTATTGCAAAACTGGAGATGTTTTTAACCCGTTGAGGAAAATGACTTAACCCTTTGAGCGTTATGTTTTAGCCCTTTGATAACGATGGTTTATACGATATATTAACCCTTTGAGGACACTGGTTTAGCCATTTTAGCATGGTAGTTTCAACGACCATCCCTTAAACAAAGGAAGGAACTAGAGAGACACGGTAAGAAAGGAAGGAGAGAGAGAGAGAGAGAGGAATACGACACTAGACAGGGAAGGAGGTAAAATGTTGTTGTGTGTAACTAGAGAAAAACCAACATTCGTACTAACAGTTTGTCATAATCTGCGGGAGGAGAGGAAATAATAATAAAAATGGGGCGACTGAGGAAAATTAGATACGAGGAAGATAACTGTAGACTAGAAGATAAATAAACAGAGATGGACAGATAAATAAATTAAAGAAGCATTGACACTAAGACACCAAGAACTTAAATCATCTGAATGTATTACAATGACAGAAACAGACAGTCATGAATACAGACAGATGAAAATTTGATATATAGGATAGAGAGACAGACAGACAGACAGACAGACAGACAGACAGATAGAGACAGACTAAGACTTTCAAACGTAAGACTCAACAAAACTTTTAGAAGAAATTAATAAAACTGTTCCTAAAAGTATTACCCCGTGTTAGTCGTGCTCAGAGTGTTGTGGTAGTGATGTGGTAGTGGTGAAAGTTGTGGTGAAGAATGTGGTAGTATCGTGATAGTGGTGAAGGTTGTGGTAGTGATATTGGTCGTACATCTATTACATTGTACCACTTAGGGGACATAATTAAGTAGAATGTATCTAGCTAAGGTAGAATATCAGTACAAGTATAATGTAATTTTTCCGCCGTTTATGTGTTTTAGTTAAAGTTAACACGTGTCCCATCTGTTGTAAATTAACTGGTTACATTCGTACGTCTTTGCTTACGAGAAATAGTTATATAAGAAGCCTTAAAAATCAGAACCGTGCGCTCAGTCCTTGGAAATATCCTCTCCTTGTTTGGTGGGGGGAAGAGGCAGGTATATGTTTCCATTTACATTCCACTGGTGACTACACGATATGAGTGTTTGTAAGCTACACACAACAGTAAACACAACCTTTACTGTTTTAGATAAATGAAAAGAGAAAATCTCAGGTCTTTTGATTCTACGCAGCTATTTCATAAGTCCAGTTAAAATCGGGTAAGATGTTGTTGTGAAGAAAACCAATAAGAAGTGATTGGCAGTGTTCCGTCACACTTAATAAAACATCCCTCACGTGCGATACAAAAACATCAGTCAGTCAGGTCAGAAATTACTAACAGAGGCCAAAACTAGGACGACTACACATGGACATATGTCTGAATATATAAACACATGAAGTTACCGTCAACACAACACTCAGAGCATCAGCTGTTGCTCCCACACGCTCACTGACGTCACGACAATAATATGTGACGTTGATGGGTAAGTCCTTAAAAAATCTAATGACGTGAATGTAGTTAACATGACGTCATCTTGATGAAAAATATATGAATTCCTTATCTGCTGTGAGGAGACATCACACAACAGACCTACCGAGAAGCCGAAGAAAATTATTTGTTCTCATAAGCATTCTAAAGTATCTCTGCAATTTTTAGTAAGACATCACTCGCTCTTGACATTGGCAGGAATACAATATATTCTATTTTATCATCTTCTATTTTATCATCTTAATTTAAGGAAAACTGGTAAAACGATCATGGTGTGTGTATGTGTGTGTGTAATAATAATAATAATAATAATAATAATAATAATAATAATAATAATAATAATAATAATAATTATAATTAACTGTTTATTGAAAAAGTTCTGCAGCCCGAAGACTGAAAATATACATTAGACAAAAATGACTTATTACATACAAAGACATGGGGTAGGTGGGTCGTTTAACAAGAGCTATCATTAGTGAAAGGAGAAGGAACATGAATTGAACATGTGTGTGTGTGTGTGTGTGTGTGTGTGTGTGTGTGTGTTACAGAATCCGTTTGATCAATTTTGGGTCAACTATGATAATTCTTTGAAAATGTAAATGCAAATTTTCATAATCAAAGACCATTTAAAGGCGTGGGTCGTTCATCGAGGGGTGAAGAATAAGAGACTATGATATTAATGCTAATACGCATAACCCTTTATCTTAACGCAGGTAATAGCTGCCTGAGAATTGATAAGCCACCAACAGAGGAGCTAGGTGACATATGAAGGTCACCAAGTGTAACGCAAATAGGTAAAACATTATTGTGACGTTATCAACTAGTGAAGTGACTGAAGATCTCAAGATAACATGGAGGCCGCCCAGAGAGAGATATATAAGTGAAGGAGAGGCCACCTCCCGTCACAAGTGTGTCTCAGACCGCAGACATGACCAGCGACCTCGTCCACGTCCTGCTGGGGGTCGTCAGCCTCACCCTCCTACACACAGGTACTGACTCAGGTCATCAGCCTCACCCTCCTACACACAGGTACTGACTGAGGTCGTCAGCCTCACCCTCCTACACACAGGTACTGACTCATGTCATCAGCCTCACCCTCCTACACACAGGTACTGACTCATGTCATCAGCCTCACCCTCCTACACACAGGTGCTGACTCATGTCATCAGCCTCACCCTCCTACACACAGGTACTGACTCAGGTCGTCAGCCTCACACTGCACGGTTTTTACTCTGCAGGAACTGAGGCCCAGATGTGTGAAGTCATCACCATCATCCGAGAGACTCAGAATAGCTATGACTGCAACTTCACCGCCCAGACCATCATCCCTATGAATGGTCTCGACCTCGTCTTCGGGTTCGACGTTGCCCCGACCGGCGTGTCTGTGAGTGAGAGTTGTTCTGCTTACCTCTTTTTATTTATTTATTTTTATATTTTTTCTCTTTTTTTTACGGGGATTAGCCCACCCGGGCACAGGTCACTGACCCACGTCAGGGCCTAGGGGGCGAAAATATAATAATAATAATAATAATAATAATAATTAGTATTAAAAATTAATATAAATTATAATAAATAAAATAATAGCAATAATAATAATAAAAATACAAACCATAAATAACAAAGAAATTAAAAATAAATCAAGAGTGAGAAACGACATACATTATGTATATTGTGCTGTCGACAGTAAAAGAAACAATTGAGACCCTGCAACTGTGTGTAAATGAGGCAGAAAGTTAGGTCAGCAACCTGGGACTTGGTCACAATTTTTGTGGTGCCATATGGCAGCAGGGTCTACCATTAGACAATACATTATGCTTCCAATATCTTCCCAGGCGGTAGTATCTCCCTGCTTGATAGCTGCCTACTACCTACTATCAAAATAACTGAACAATACTCACAATCTCCTAAGTCTGCCACATATGATCAGATAATATGTATGTACACTGGTTCTCGTGATGGGTTAAAACACCGCTCATGAATCCCAAGAACAACATCCTAATATTCACCTTCATCAATTAATTTGACGGTTTTAGTACCATACATTGAGCACATTAAAGCTTAAAAATATGTTATCTAACAAGAGAGTAAATGTTCATTAGTACCAATATGATGGCGGAGGTGGAGTGGAGGATTTTGGCCTTCATGGTGAGGCGCCCAGAACCCGCTGGAGCCGAAGTAACACGCACTTTTCCTTTATCCTATCAGTTCTGGGATGGCGGCAAAGAGGTTATAGACTCCACCCACTACAAGTTCACCAACGATAAGTTCTTCGAGACGGGACTGTACGTGGCAGAGCACTTCCAGGTGACTTACGACGGCGAGAAGCCCAACATCATCAGTATTGAGCTGGCCGGGTACGAAGTCTGTGGTGAGTGACTCTTTTAATCTCCTGGTGACTTCTAGCTTTTGTATCAGCCGAGAAAACAAGCTACAGTATAAAGTATAAGAGAGAAATATTATAATGATGTGAAAAAAGTGGAATAATTGTCATCTTCCTTTGTCTGTCTTGAGGGGTGACGTCACGCCACAGTCTCAAACCGTTTAATCGTCTTACTTACGGTGCCAGATATTACTTCCTCACTCGTCTAAAACCAAAATTACTTGTGTGTCATCTTCATGCAGTTTTAGTCCTCTGGTCTCTTCCTCCCTCCTCATAACTCTCATCTTCACCACCTACAGATGGCACGCTTGGCTGGACCACCGATGCTCCCTTCACTAACCCTTGTGAGCCAACAGGCATGGGGAAATACGACTACGCCCAGGTCAGTATCTGAACAAGTGTGTTAATGTGGAAGTCATTCACCCTCTAGTTGATGTAACGGAGTATAAAGACATAGTCATTTATGAGATCCTTGAATAAGATTATATCCATTCACATTATGACTTTAGTGCAATTATTCTTTAAATGTCTTAGTCAGATAAAAACTGTTCCTCGAGTATGAACACTTACCTCTTGGGTTTGGTGATACACTCCTGAATAAAAACAATATTCTACTATTAACCGTTTCTCTGAGGAACCTTAAAACTGTTAACTATCCTAAGCGACTCTTCCCTGTCTCCGCCTCACTTACAGGCTCTGTGTGAGTCCTTCTTGTTCTACGAGGCTCAAAGGTCAGGAAAATTACCAAAGGACCAACGAGTTGAACCCTGGAGGTGGGACTCTGCCATGGACGACGGTGCTGATGTGGGCCATAACCTTACTGGCGGCTACTACGACGGTGAGAGAGAGGCCGTCATCAAGTGATAAACAATATACCTAAATACATCCAGCAGATGTACCAACACTTGACCTTCCAGCCTGACTCAGGATCATATCTCCCCAACAGCTGGTGACCACGTCAAGTTCGGCTTCCCGATGGCCTACACAGCCACCGTCCTGGCCTGGGGACTCATAGACTTTGCTGAAGGATACGAGGCAGCTGGTGAGTAAAACCTTACGTTAAGTTTGGCTTTTAGGTGTTATAGTACACCCGGTTTAAAATAATATATATGCATACAGCAAATTGTATTTAGATATCAATAAGAAATGAAAACTTCAAACACATGTAGATCAATTGATCTTACTGAGGTTGGTGGTCACACAGGTCAGACGGACTACGGTCGTGCGGCCGTCAAGTGGGCCACTGACTACTTCCTCAAGGCCCACACCGCTGAGTACGAACTGTACGGCCAGGTGCGTCTACCGTCCTCTCACTGATGTTTACTTTCTCTTATCACCACATAGTATTACAGAGCTTCACATGACACCATAATACATCATATGACCTCATACAACATTACACCCCAAAATATCCCACATCACATAACAGTACATGATATCAAACCACATCACGTAATATTACACGATATTATACAGCATCGCATAACAGTACAACACTTAACAATACAAACTAATACATAGCAATATATCACATCATATAACATCGCACAGCATCACAACTTAACATCACACAATACAAAGACCAGCTCCTGATATTACAGGTTTTAATAGTTCTTGGGTCTCCCCTATCATCTAACCCTCGCTTGTGTCACCTCCAGGTTGGCTCTGGAAACATAGACCACAGCTTCTGGGGACGCCCTGAGGACATGCATATGGAGCGACCCGCCTATAAGATCGACAAAGAAGCTCCAGGTCAGTATAGCCTCTAGAGTACAACGACAAAGAAATCCTAGAGTTCAGTGCCATCGTACTCAAAGAGTTAATTCAGTGTTTTCAAGGAGATTAAGTAATCGTACTCAAGAGTTTAAGTCACTTTACTCAAGGGTTCAGTCACTTTACTCAAGAGAATAAAGTCATCGTACTCAAGGGGTTAAGAACTGTTACTTAAGTCTGGGCTTCTGCACCAGACGAACTCTTATGAAAGAACTGAAACACAAATCCCGGGAAAAACTGACAATGTCTCCATCTCCAAGAGTTCATTATACAGATCAGATCCGCGGTACCTCGCTACATAGCTCTGGATACCAGACCATGTGAAATAGCACACTCGGTTACAGGAATTTTTTTATTATTAATTAAAATAAGCTTCAAAATTCACCCCTTTCTTTGGATTTTTAATAAGAGATAAGACTCAACAGTCGTTTCCTTCTCCTGCAGGAACTGAATTGGCTTGTGAGACCGCCGCCGCCCTCGCTGCTGCCTCCCTCGTCTTCAAGGTACTGACCCGCTTCCTCCTTTATCTTGCCTCTAATATATGTTTCTATACAACACTTCATATTTTACTTAAAGATAAATACACAAAGAGTATTACGTTTCTTGTCTTACTTTGAAATATCCTGTCGACATCCGCTTGTGATGTTTACTATCCCTCAAGTAACTACTGTAATGACACAAGGATATTTTTGTATTAGTTAAGAGCCTTCTGCAGTAATTGCTCAGTTGAAGAAGATTGCAAAACTGGTTCGATCCCAATTCACTTTCAATAAACCCACAGCTCAAATATAAATCGGGGAAGTAAAGGTAGAAGAGTGCAGCGCCGGCCACACTGCCTTCTTGTTTACAACTTAAAAAAAATAATGCAAATAACATACATATCAACACCTTACAGAAGGCTAACCCCGACTACTCGGCTGAGATGTTGGAGGTGGCCAAGGAGCTCTATGCCTTCGGCGACGAGTACCGTCTGGAGTACCACAAGTCCATCCCTGACGCTGCTGACTTCTACAGGTAGGTACCATAGTGTATGTACCTCATATACCTGAGGCAGTCAGATATTTATGTATTTTGTGATAATAACAGAGATTTGCGAAAGGAAAATGAATACTACAGAAGTTGATGATCAGTGACACGGGAACATGATGCTCATTGGTTACTCATCAACATTTATAACATTACTGAGAGTGACATAATAACCTGGTGGTTTACCTCAGGTCAGTGAAACATAATAACCTGGTGGTGTATCACCTACAGGTCGTGGAGCGGGTACGGAGACGAGCTGCTGTGGGGCGCACTGTGGCTGTACCGCGCCACAGGAGACGACACCTACCTCACCAAGGCTCAGGAGGCCTGGGATGAGTTTAACCTGGCAGAAGGCGCGCTGCAGTTCTCCTGGGACGACAAGAAGGCTGGCGCCTATGTAAGGAAATTAACTGACAGAATAATGTGACGTTGTGCCGATACATGATTTCTGTAGCAAACTCTAAACATCATATCAACACTGACGTACTTACGCATGAACTTTGGCCTCACACAGGCGCTGGGCTCGATGGTGGACCCAGACAACACTATGTACGCTGATGCCCTGAAGGCCTTCCTGGAGTACCTGAAGAACGACGCCAAGTACACTCCAGGCGGCCTTATCTTCCTGGACCCGTGGGGCTCCAACCGTCACGCCGGCAACGTTGCCTTCATTTCTCTCTGGGTCAGTTTATTATCACTAATATAATACATTATCAAACTGGAGACATAATCTACGTCAACTGGTTCTAAAATTTTTGGTGTGGGAATTTTAATTCACAAACTTTTCAGGGAATTACGAACGATATTTTGTAAGCGAGTTAGCTGACCCCTATGTGTATTATCCAGGCGGCCAAGTACGGAGACCCAGCAGACGCGGACGCCAACAGGGAGTGGGCTGAGGGCCAGATCGGTTACATCCTGGGTGACTTCGGTCACTCCTTCGTCGTGGGCTTTGGTGTAGACCCTCCCTCACACCCCCACCACCGCTCCAGGTACACACTCTACCTCTCTATTACCATCACCCACATGATGTACACTCTACCTCTCTATTACCATCACCCACATGATGTACACTCTACCTCTCTATTACCATCACCCACATGAACTAACACCTACATAGTTCTTATCAGTGCACCAACACAGGTGTGTATGAGTCTGTTTACACTACGCATGATCCTGTGTTGAAGGTTGTGACGCAGTGGTGTCTTACTGACCCTAGGATGTTCTTCCTCCTACAGCTCCTGCCCGATACCACCAGATTCCTGCCTTAACAACCAATGGGGTCAGAACCAGCCGGGACCCAACCCTCACACCCTCTACGGCGCCGTCGTCGGTGGACCAGATTCGGTCAGTCTTACCAGATGGTTGATTGTTGTAGGTGTGGCAGAGACAAGACTTGTTTCCTCACACCACTTACTCCAACCATTAGGCAGACGTTACTTGTGTACTTCGTTCCCGTGTATTTTTTCACGTTCCCTTAACCTTTGTCAATTAGATTCATGAACAGGTGTGACAGGTGAAATTCTTGCCCTCCATTCACTTATCACGTCTTATGTTGTTATGCCTAAACTCCATGACTGCTGAGTACAGTTGTACATTGTTCCTTCACTCCACAGGGTGACGGCTACACCGACAAGCGCATGGACTTCCAGCACAACGAGGTGGCCTGTGACTACAATGCCGCCTACACTGGGTGTCTGGCCGCCATTATCGAGAGTAAATAAATAATGAAGCTCTTTGTCCACTGATTTATTTAATTATTTTGTCATTTTATTACTTACACTTCCAATTCGTCTTTATTTTTTCCATAATAAATACACGAGAAAATAAATTATAGTTTCAATGAGTTACACCTGAAGTGTGGGATTCCTGCCTCCATTCTTCCCAATTCTGAACTGACAACATTGCACGATGTGTTGAGGATACCACACACCTCTTGGACTTGTGTCGTAATACAGCACTACACCAGTTTAAATCTTAACAATAAACAACCTAATTGAACAACACTATTCTTCTGGAAGCTCCACGTCACGCAAGAATCAATCAGTGCTACCAACATCAACCAGTACTACCAACATCAACCAGTACTACCAACATCAACCAGAACTACCAACATCAACCAGTACTACCAACATCAACCAGTGCTACCAACATCAACCAGTACTACCAACATCAACCAGTACTACCAACATCAACCAGTGCTACCAACATCAACCAGTACTACCAACATCAACCAGTACTACCAACATCAACCAGTACTACCAACATCAACCAGTACTACCAACATCAACCAGTACTTGCCCAACCAATATTCTGATATAAAAGAGAGTCTTTCTGAGATAACTCCTAAAGTGAAATGAAGGAGACAGTGAAAGATAGAAAGGTAATATAAGAGACAGACAGACAGACAGATAGACAGACAGACAGACAGACAGAAAATAAAATATAGCTTTTGCTTGTAAGTGAAAGAAGAAATATTACACAACATACACGTGTATAGTTATGATTTAGTCTACAAAGTGTTAATCCAACCAAATAATAACAAGAGAAATGTTAGGTCGGTAAGACACACCTGCGAACAAGGGACAAGAAAGAAAGCATGAAAAGGCATGGAAAGAAGGAGATGGAGAAGTGGGAAGAAGAAGAAGAACAGCAACAACAACAACAAGACATGGCAAACTCTATTAAGAAGGAAGAAAATAGAAAGAGAAAAATAAAAAGAAACAAAAAACTTTAAATAAGAAGATGCAGAAGTAGAGAGAATAAACGAAAAAACAAAAACAAACGAGACAAGTTAAGAAAGAAGTGGGAGAAGGAAGGGAAAGAGAATTAACCGGACAACACAACGCCAAATGAGTATCGGACAGAGGACGGAAGGAAAGAGTTTTGTTGTGTGTTACTATGGAAACCCGATATTTGCGCCAGGAATTATCTTAAGGTGAGGGAGGCAAGAGAATATAATGATGAACTCAAGAGGAGGAAGACTATGGTATTATTTCCGACGAGGATGGAGATAGAGGAAGAGAGCGTTAAGAGAAATGAAATAATATGATAATGGAGAAGAGAAGACCACTTAAAGATAGACAAAGACAGGGTGATGCATAAGAACATAAGAGTGAAGGAAACTGCCCGGGACCTATTGACCTATACTGGGTAGTCCCGTTTACACCCAACCCCTATCCATCACATATCCATCCAACCGATGTTTGAAGCTATCCAGCGTATTCGAGTTATTGATTATGTTTGGTAACTTGTTCCACTCATCCACTAATCTATTTCCAAACCATTGTTTACTTATCTCGCGCCTAAATCTAAATTTGTCTAATTTAAAACCATTGCTACACATAAGGAGCGTGAAAAAAGTACGGAGAATATAAAGGGAGAAAGAAAGAAAAATGGAAAAGGGAGAGATACAGACAGAGAGAGGGAGAAAGAGAGGGAGAGAGAAAAGGAGAGAGAGAGATCACTGAAAGAGGAGGAGGAGGAGAGGCTTCACCTTTAGGTTCGCAAGACTCAACAAAAAAAAACTTCTGGGAGAATGAATAAAAGTTTTGTTTAAATTTTTCTCTCGAGTTAGTTGTGTTTGACTGTTTCCAGTGGCGCTTTTGTTCTGAGTGATGGTAATGGTGGTGGTGGTGGTGGTGGTGGAGATGATGGAGGTGGTGGTTGTGGTGGAGGTGGTGGTGGTGGTGGTGGTGGGTGGTGGTGGTGGTGGTGGAGGTGGTGGTTGTGGTGGTGGAGGAGATGGTGGAGGTGGTGGTTGTGGTGGAGGATGGTGGTGAGTGGTGGTGGTGGTGGTGGAGGGAGGTGGTGGTGGTGGTGGGGTGGTGGTTGTGGTGGTGGAGGGAGGAGGTGGTGGAGGTGGTGGTGGTGGTGGTGGTGGTGGTGGTGGTGGTGGTGGTGGTGGTGGTGGTGGTGGTGGGTGTGGTGGTGGTGGTGGTGGTGGTGTGGTGTGGTGGTGGGTGGTGGTGGTGGTGGTGGTGGTGGTGGTGGTCAGTCGTCGTAGCAATCGTGATGGGGATGATGATAGCACTGTCTATAATGTGTGTGTGTGTGTGTGTGTGTGTGTGTGTGTGTGTGTGTGTGTGTGTGTGTGTGTGTGTGTGTGTGTGTGTGTGTGTGTGTGTGTGTGTGTGTGTGTGTGTGTGTACTCCTCACATTTATATTCATTGAGAGTTAAAGCCGTATACATCATGAAAAATACGTTAGACAACAATTAGCCACGAGACAAACACAGACATTAGGTAATTGCCATAAGAGCCTCAGGTGATGCCAAGACTCTATCACAAACTCCTTCACAGCGTTAATGGAGGAGGGGACTTATGCTGTTATAGCCCTGAGGGAGTCGGGCCATATAATTGCTCCTCCGTCGATGTTCCTCCTCTGAAAGTTAGGTTAACTTAGGTTTGATTAGGTTAGCTTAAATTAAATCAGGCTATGTTGGTTTACGTTAAGTTATTTTAGGTTAGGTTACTGTTCACATGACAATAAAAACTATATGCCAATTGTTAAGATCATGGAATCTGCGTTCAACTAAAATATATCCAGTAAAGAGTAAAGATGAAGGTTATATTTCATCTCAGGTCTTCTGGCGTCACGAAATGTTTTCATAGTCTGGTAAAACTTGAGACGACTTTCTTACTTGATGAATAAACTTTCTCTCTGTAATTTTTTTAGACTGATGGAAAAAATTGGACATACACACACACACACACACACACACATACACACACGATTTCTTGTATCAACTTTAGGAGGATAACAACAAACGGATATATTTACACTTCTCAATACCAGCGTCATGAACGATAACTCTGGTGAAGATAAGACGCCATGACGTCAAGACAAATTAAGATGGAAATAAGATAAACAGGAGAACCACACGTCAGAGAAGACTATCAGAGAAACAAGATAAGGTTATTGTATTTTTTTTTTCCAGGCCAGTGAACAGTTCTCTTGGTTGGCTTAATGAGAGATACTGGAAGGAGAAGTTCTCTCTTGGCTGGCTTGGGTCTTTCCTGCACCACACTACACTTGTACGATTATTGCAGCAACAAGAATATTCCTCATTTCAATTCCTTATTATATCATCATCATCATCATCATCATCATCATCATCATCATCATCATCATCATCATCATCATCATCATCATCATCAATCATCATCATCATCATCATCATCATCATCAATCATCATCATCATAACAAAATGCCATAGTATTATAGAATTCTTTGTTATTATTATACCTAAAGGTTAAAAGACAATATTCCTCCCCCAACATGACATGTGAGCTGGGTTGCCTGTCCGTCAGCCTTCACTCTAACATTTAAGTTAGTGAAAATGTTGCAGGAGATAGGTAACGTCCACGACCAGCCCCGCGTTAATGATCACCTCTCGCTCACCCTAGTTTCTAATATGATTTTCTTGATATTTTATTACACGTCATGACTTCACTCACTTCACTGACACTAAGAGATTAAATATTATATATGATGGAGTAGACTCTACGATGTTCACCTGTAATAAAGGTTCACCGTGACTTACAACCATTTCATTGTCATCTAAAAATACAGTCGCCAGCTGTGACCTTGGTGGGCTCAGCCCGTGAGAGAACTGTTAACACACACACACACACACAAATGGATCTCTACAACAACCCTTGTACGTCAACAGGCATGTAGAAATAAGAATACGCACAGGTTAGTATTTCCACAAAATGTTGAATTGTTTGCCATTACCATAAATCTATGTGATAATATAATTATAAGGTTAATAAATTATTTCAGATTTACAGTTTAAGGAGTAAAACTTGTGAATCACGCACTTGAAACTCTCATCGCTGTGATCAGTTAATCTTTCAACAATGGTTCACGCAGTGTATCAACATTCTAAACACTACAGGATGTATGTAATTCATTAATTTTTCTCTGTCGAAGACAAAGCTCACTAGAACCCTAAGGCCACTTGTTACGGTTCTTTGGGAAGATTTAGTAGCTTCTTGTCAGTAGTAGTGTCAAAAAGTGACAAATAAATGGTACAAAAGAAAATTGAAGAATTTGACATTGATTCATTATCAAGAAAAAATAAATGTTTTATTAAATAGTACATGCATTTTTTTTTCATTATAATATAAAGATGATTGATTTAATATTTCAAAATTGATAAATCAGCTTTGAGGGAGCGAGAAAACATATGACAGTCCTCAAGTGAGACGGAAATCACTTGCAAAAAGAGAGATGTTATCAACTTCTGAAGTGACTGAAGATAACATGGAGGCCGCCCCGAGAGATATATAAGTGGAGGAGACGTCGCCTCTCGTCACCAGTGTGTCTCAGACCGCAGACATGACCAGTGTCCTCGTCCACGTCCTGCTGGGGGTCGTCAGCCTCACCCTCCTACACACAGGTACTGACTCAGGTCGTCAGCCTCACCCTCCTCCACACAGGTACTGACTCAGGCCGTCAGCCTCACCCTCCTACACACAGGTACTGACTCAGGTCGTCAGCCTCACCCTCCTCCACACAGGTACTGACTCAGGTCGTCAGCCTCACCCTCCTACACACAGGTACTGACTCAGGTCGTCAGCCTCACCCTCCTACACTGGCAGTATCATGCAGGAGTTACTTTGTCACCAAAACTTTACATTGCTCACCCTGCAGGAGCGGAGGCCCAGATGTGTGCAACCATCACCATGATGCAAGAGAATGTGAACGACTACATGGGAAACTTCACTGCAGATGGCGCGATACGTATGGACGGTCTCGACGTCACCTTTGAGTTCGATATCGCTCCAAAGAGCGTGTCTGTGAGTGCACATTCTGAGTTCTTATTTCTTATGAGCAGTTAAGTAAGTGAATGTCATTTACATGTGAGTTAGTCTTTCTACATAACGACTCGTTCCTCGCACATTCCCTTCATTGCCACAGTTCTGGGATGGTAAAATAGCAAAGGTAGACGACACACACTACAGGATGACTAACGACCTGTTCTTCGAGACGGGCGTCTACGTCAGCTTCCACTTCCAGGTGACTTACACCGATACCAAACCCAATGTCATCGCTATTGACATGGCAGGCCAAGACGTGTGTGGTGAGTGAGCAAGATGCTTTGGTTTTATGCCATGTATGAGAGGACAAACCTGATAATGTAGCGAAAAGAAATATTATAGAAACATTTATGAAATATAATTCGTGTAAATTCATTATAAAACTAATATGCCTATTAAGGATTAACTGAATGTAATTATCATAATTCTCAAACATAGTCAAACTCTGGTACATAAATAAGGGTTAACGAGACGGAGACCTTCCCTCACCCCTATAAACCTCTCCCTGTGGTCTCTGTCTTCCCCCAGTCATCTATAACATTTTCCACACACAGATGGAACGTTCGGCTTTACTACCATGGAACCCTACACCAACCCTTGTGCGCCCACAGGCATGAAGAAATACGACTACGCCCAGGTCAGTACTTCCACAAATTGTTGAATCGTATGGAACTACCGCTGATTTATGTGGTACTATTTCTCTATTATTATGACTTAGTGTATTAAGAGTAAGTGTTCTGGGTACTAAAACCCTTGAATATATAGAGGTAGTTCTTGCTATATTGATTTGGGTACAGTAATTACAAACCGTTACATAAACAACTTGACCCAATAAATACCTCACTTAATCATCATCTAGCTGTCGTGTGTCTTGGGTTAATTATCTCATAGCGATAATCCCAGCATTACTTATTTTATTATTGGGGAGAGGAGGGGGATAGGGAGAGGATGGCGCGGGGATTGGGGGAGGGGAGGGTGGGTGAGGGGTGGGGGGGGAGGGGGCGGAACGCAAGTTTAGCTGATTTATAAGTAGGAGGCAACTTCTAGAGAAAAACAATGTGGGGCATAAATGAATATCTAGGTAAAGTTTGGTTACCGAAGAAAGTCTTAAATGAAATAAAATAAATTAATGATATGCGTATCTAATAATTCCCGTAGAATTATGTGGATAATAAAAGTTATCTCCAAAACACATAACAAGATAACTGACTATACCTTGAATTTCAAATCTTTATACTGTACCTATGACTACAGTGAGGAGATACAGTATCTTGAATATGAACGATTATCTAGTTCTTATGTAAGAGAATTTGAACCTTTTACCAGAGAGATCTTAAATGTTTTAGTGACGTATTATCGTCATTGTTATGTTCAGGCTGATTTTGGGACGCGTCCTTGAATTACACATTTTTATAAAGGTTGTCTCACCTCTCTCTTTTATTTCTGAAAACTCATAACTTATTTGTCGTTAAGGTAACAACTAGAGATTTGTACTTAATAAATCTGGCAGTTATAGCACCTAAAGCTAAGACAATGTATACAGTGCTCAATAACCTTGGCACTTATAGCACCTAAAACTAAGCTCTAGTGAATGATGCTTAATAAAGCTGGCAGAGGAGGCACCCAAACCTTAACAACAACAGAGCTCTGAGTCTCTCTTACCTGATCCTCTCCTCACCCTCAGGCTTTATGTGAGTCCTTCCTGTTCTACGAGGCTCAGAGGTCGGGACATTTGCCAGAAGACCAGCGCGTTTCTCCCTGGAGGTGGGACTCTGCCCTGGACGACGGCTCAGATGTGGGTCATGACCTAAGTGGCGGCTACTTCGACGGTGAGAGAGAGAGAGAGAGAGGCCGTCATCAAGTGATAAACAATATACCTAAATACATCCAGCAGATGTACCAACACTTGACCTTCCAGCCTGACTCAGGATCATATCTCCCCAACAGCTGGTGACCACGTCAAGTTCGGCTTCCCGATGGCCTACACAGCCACCGTCCTGGCCTGGGGACTCATAGACTTTGCTGAAGGATACGAGGCAGCTGGTGAGTAAAACCTTACGTTAAGTTTGGCTTTTAGGTGTTATAGTACACCCGGTTTAAAATAATATATATGCATACAGCAAATTGTATTTAGATATCAATAAGAAATGAAAACTTCAAACACATGTAGTTCAATTGGTCTTACTGAGGTTGGTGGTCACACAGGTCAGACGGACTACGGTCGTGCGGCCGTCAAGTGGGCCACTGACTACTTCCTCAAGGCCCACACCGCTGAGTACCAACTGTACGGCCAGGTGCGTTTTAAAACAATTCTTATCTTAAGCTGGTGACAGTCTTAACCAACATACTTTTTATCTATTTTCTTAAACACTTATTGGGAAACATTGCATCTGTCGAGGATCAGAGCCATTGATAGATAGATAGATGGATAGATATTTTATTGACCATAAATTATAAATATAGAGTTTACAGTAAAATTTTACATAATATGGTCCAAATGCAAATGCTTTAAAACACCAAACATTAATAAAAGTTCACTGATTCAACCAGTAACACAAAAAACAGAGGAAAACCACGAGTAAATAAAGTAAAAAAAAATAACTACAAGTAAAATAAACTAAAACATACAAAATAATTCTCCAATGAAATGTTAGGAGGATTAACTTAGTCGTATATTCCCTGTAGAAAAGACAAGAGACACTGAAAGTTGTATATGGATTTTTTTTTTACTGGAACAGATTGTGTGATGTCTTGACTATCACTCGTATCTCTTTGTTTCCAGCTTTCTTACACTTTATATAAATAGGACCACCTTGTTATGTTCATAGGTGCTCCCTAAAGGAAATATAATGTGATGTATTTTTTTCCCTTTAGAATAAGAGACAATCAACACGTAAATAACAAACAAATTTATCTCATTAATTAGGTGTTTGTGTATAACAGAATTTCTCTCTTGTACAATATTTATTATGTCTTTGTTCTTTGGTAATTACTTTTTTCATGGTCATCAGGTCGGTAAGGGAGACACTGACCACGCCTTCTGGGGCCGCCCTGAGGATATGCACATGACCCGACCCTCCTGGAAGATCGACAGAGAGGCTCCAGGTAAGGACGGTCGAGAGCTGTGTAATTAACACCTTTTGACGACGACTGAACCTACACAACTCAGACATCTCTGATCATCTGAATTAACGATATAGACTCCTGGCTGTGTCTGTAACTGAGGTTTATGGCTTTCAAGTTAATTTTATATATGATATTCACTTTAATATTGTATATATTAGTTGAGGAATATTGCAATACCTTCTTGGGTTATTTTACAAGATGACAGTTGTTGTTATCTTGATATTACGTCTTATGCACAAATCACTGAGAAGAGTTGAGACTGTTACTACCTCTGTCAGTCTTAGATACGGATGATTAGGGACACCAGGGATCGTTCTAACTTTCTAAACTAAGTTACGTTTCATATATAATAGAAGTTGGCTTGAGTTCTTTGGGCAAAATGACTTAGGTGCTGTTTGTTCCTGGACTAATTTTCTAAGAAAAAAAAAAATTGACAACATGAATATTTCTCAGTCTATGATTACTTTAGTCATGGGACTGTTTGACAAAGCCGTTGTTCTTCGTTATAGTTATTTATTTAAGACTCTTCAGGCAGTCTCTGGTTCCAGGATTCTGAGTTAATGATTTTTCAGGGAGTTTCGACATTCCGAAGTCTTAGTAGTCATCATGAATCATTAGTGTCGTCTCTGATACAAACGTCATTTGTGTTAAAACTCAACAGTCGTTTCCTTCTCCTACAGGGACTGAGTTGGCTTGTGAGACCGCCGCCGCCCTTGCTGCTGCCTCCATCATCTTCAAGGTATTCTACTAACCTGCCTAGATCTACCTCACGCTTCTCCGATATGTTATTTTATTGCCTTAATACAATCATTTAACGTAAAGTAAATTTTATCTAAACTTTATTTAGACATACGCAAATTTTCATTTGAGAATTACATAGTATACACTGTAAGATCATAAAATTACAAACATTCTGATTGTAACTTTCTACAAACAAAATCATGAGTGGCTTTATTAACCTTTCATCATTTCTTGTCGTAATTTTCCATAGTTATTGACTAGTTAATCGACTTACTAAGAATGCGTGCTAGAAAACCTTGTGTGAAGCACAGGAATGCCAGTGTTCCTCCACAAGGTTCATGTAATATAAGATTCTCAGTAGGGAACAGTGTACAGGTTTATCTTTGGTTAGCTTCACATGCTTACATATACAATTCTTGCCCTATCAATCTTCTTACCAAATGACCTTAGTTGTTGAAGCGCACTAACACATTATATTTACAACTTATCTTATGTATTGGTGTTTATGCAAGAGAGAAAATATGTATGGATCCCATTGATACGATTATAAACACCTTACAGGAGGATGACCCCGACTACTCGGCTGAGATGTTGGAGGTGGCCAAGGAGCTCTATGCCTTCGGCGACGAGTACCGTCTGGAGTACCACAAGTCCATCACTGACGCCTCCAACTTCTACAGGTAAAGTGTGTCACTCTGTTACACTGCAATTATATTTTTCGTGTCATTAGCTTTTTTAGTAATTAACTGTTCATACTACAGTGGATATTTCTTGTTCACACGTGAGTTGACTCGTTATCCCTAAGACTTGTAACTCATTTTAGTGACACATAATAACCTGGTGGTGTACCTCAGGTCAGTGACACATAATAACCTGGTGGTGTACCTCAGGTTAGTGACACATAATAACCTGGTGGTGTACCTCAGGTCAGTGACACATAATAACCTGGTGGTGTACCTCAGGTCAGTGACACATAATAACCTGGTGGTGTACCTCAGGTCAGTGACACATAATAACCTGGTGGTGTACCTCAGGTCAGTGACACATAATAACCTGGTGGTGTACCTCAGGTTAGTGACACATAATAACCTGGTGGTGTACCTCAGGTCAGTGACATAATAACCTGGTGGTGTATCACCTACAGGTCGTGGAGCGGGTACGGAGACGAGCTGCTGTGGGGCGCACTGTGGCTGTACCGCGCCACAGGAGACGACACCTACCTCACCAAGGCTCAGGAGGCCTGGGATGAGTTTAACCTGGCAGAAGACGCGCTGCAGTTCTCCTGGGACGACAAGAAGGCTGGCGCCTATGTAAGTATTTTCCTCTGGTAACACTGTGTATTCAGTGAGAAGTGAAAAAAAAAACATGCATAGATACGTGATCATTTAATAAGCTCACACAATTAACATGACACCTGCCACATGAAGGTTGTAAATCCTTCATTACTTATCATTGATAAACTACCTCTATGAAGTATCCTTTTTTATCAGTCATGTGAGTTGTTGGCAAGTGTTACGACAAAGATCTCACTGGTAGTTGGTATTAGTTTCAGTGGGATGTGTTCCCACTCTGGCCTGTAGAGGACTCAGTGGTCTTGTTCCAAAGTTTATGGTGTAACTCCTTCAGTCCATCTCATAGAATCTCATTGGTTGGTCTTAATTAAATATATATTGAGTCACCTCTATTCTCTGTAAAACTGTGCACATGCAGTCAACAGTTACACCTCCAACAACAGCAAAATATCCAAACTTCCCCGATCTAGCGTCGTATGTTGTGCTGACTGAAACTTTGTTGGCGGGTCTCGGCTGGCCATGCCATGTGTTAACTTTCATCTCAAGTGCAGTAAATTAACTTTGGCCTCACACAGGCGCTGGGCTCGATGGTGGACCCAGACAACACTATGTACGCTGATGCCCTGAAGGCCTTCCTGGAGTACCTGAAGAACGACGCCAAGTACACTCCAGGCGGCCTTATCTTCCTGGACCCGTGGGGCTCCAACCGTCACGCCGGCAACGTTGCCTTCATCTCTCTCTGGGTCAGTTTATTATCACTAATATAACTTTCTGGACTGTAAGAATTATCTGCTAGTGTTTAATATTAATGCTAAGTTTATTGATAAGTTTTATGAAGAAATGTTAATGACTGACAGAGTTAACTGAACTATGTGTTTGATGACCAGGCGGCCAAGTACGGAGACCCAGCAGACGCGGACGCCAACAGGGAGTGGGCTGAGGGCCAGATCGGTTACCTTCTGGGTGACTTCGGTCACTCCTTCGTCGTGGGCTTTGGTGTAGACCCTCCCTCACACCCCCACCACCGCTCCAGGTACACACTCTACCTCTCTATTACCATCACCCACATGATGTACACTCTACCTCTCTATTACCATCACCCACATGATGTACACTCTACCTCTCTATTACCATCACCCACATGATGTACACTCTACCTCTCTATTACCATCACCCACATGATGTACACTCTACCTCTCTATTACCATCACCCACATGATGTACACTCTACCTCTCTATTACCATCACCCACATGATGTACACTCTACCTCTCTATTACCATCACCCACATGATGTACCATCACCCACCATGATGTACTACTACCATCACCCACCTCTCTATTACCATCACCCACATGATGTACACTCTACCTCTCTATTACCATCACCCACATGATGTACACTCTACCTCTCTATTACCATCACCCACATGATGTACACTCTACCTCTCTATTACCATCACCCACATGATGTACACTCTACCTCTCTATTACCATCACCCACATGATGTACACTCTACTGCTCTACTCTACATGATGGCTTATTTTTTTTATTATTACCCCATAATATCCCAGCTCGTTATATTATGCGGAAGGTTTTTTCTGTAGGATTCGCCTCGGTAAAGGTAAAACAATGTCTGTTTGATGGAATTGTCTTCCCCAAAACGAAATAGAAAAATGATTGGATATAAATAAAATATCAGTGCAAGATTAAATAACAGGTATATATTGTCTAACATTTGCTCATATTCATCAGTGAGGCAATACACAGATCTCCGCTGTCTATTCCTTGGCAGTAATTTAAGATGACGCTCTGCACCTGTCGGAAATTCTAGAAGTTGTCTGTCAGAAGAAAACGAGACCTATTGAATGGTGCTTCATAACTCATACAGCTGTAATTCCAACAGCAACATCTCCTAGACTCCAACAAACTCGACCAACAGCTGATTATTGCTAACCTCAGCCTTGGTCTTCCTTCCTCAGCTCGTGCCCGATACCTCCACAGTCTTGCCTGCACCATGACTGGGGCTGGACCCAACCAGGACCAAACCCTCATACCCTCTTCGGCGCCCTCGTTGGTGGTCCTGACAACGTAAGTCTCATTTGATTGGTGCAGGTGTGGCTGAGACAAATCTTCATCCCTCAGACTGAACTGTTACTGCTGCAGGTCGTCCCTCTTGTGATTATTATTCAGTGTCAGGTGTCATAAGCCAAGAACAGTTATAACACCTCCCTAGCCTTTGTCATTCACAAGTATGCCCCTATTCCTTGACCATACTTATTGTGATATCAGAGCACAGGTCCCACTCTCTTTTTCTCCTCTAACCATTATAATTTTGCTCCTTAATCCATATTGATATACTGCTGTGGCCTCACCCAAGGCTCTAAGTACAGATATACAATGTTTCCTTCTCTCCACAGTCTGATACCTATGAGGACAAACGCACAGACTACCAGCACAACGAGGTGGCCTGTGACTACAACGCCGCCTACACTGGGTGTCTGGCCGCCATTATCGAGAAGAAATAACCAGCCGACTCCGGTGCTTTAATTCACTCATCTTTGTCTGTGTAATTCTTGTCTTTGCATAAATATAAGAAAATATGAATTATTAGTTCTTCTTTATAAGCCTAACTGGTTCACTGAATTACTTACCATTTTCCCGGCCTCAACAGATTGGTGTCTAATTGCCTCTAAGCCATATCCTGAATAAATAGTTTGAAAAGTGTCAATATTGACTTGTTGAGGGAAAACGTTACTCTCAATTTTACCCATTCATATTTTATTATCCTTTCATCCTTAAGTATGTGGTTAAACTCGTTTTATTCATTCAGTAAATTTCAAGTATTTGTTTTTTATTACACTTTAACATTCTCCTGTAGCACCACTTATTGAAGGTCTCACCTCCTTCTGATGTCTAGTGAAAGTGCCCATAATTTCGACCCATACACCAGCACTCATTAAGTAGTTACACTTTAGCGGACATTTTCTCAACTTAGAATTATTGTTCCTTCTGTTTGACTTACTCTTGTTTTAGTTTATCGCTGACATCAACCATCCCAACTAATATTACTCTCCCAGATACACACAAAATCCTACATCCGTATTAAGATATTTGGTGGTAATAGTGATTATGAAATTCTTTATAAAAACTCTTTATTATCAACACGATGCTGTATTGGTGGTAAATATTGTACTGACTTATTTAATGTTAGATATGAGGTTATGATGATGTAATAAATGTTTATGACAAAATAGTATTAAATATTCGTCAAGCAATTCATGCTCGTGTTATTACAGATAGTTAAAAGGTGTTGAATGTGATATTAAACCGATTAGAGGAAAAGGATAAAAAATACAATATTGGGTTAGAATCGAGGCTGTAAAGGTGGAAGTGATGAGGGAAGAAATGGTTGCTTTTAACTATATTAAAATCAACATCACGGTAGGCGACAGGGAAGTAATGTGCTTTACTCAATTAAATATTTCTTCATAAACTTCAAAAATGATATAGAAATTTTGTAAACATTTCTAAGCCGCTTCGGATCTGGCGTCAAAAAGTTGACTTACGGATAATTAGACTTGGTAATGACTCTTAAGTGTGTGTGTGTGTGTGTGTGTGTGTGTGTGTGTGTGTGTGTGTGTGTGTGTGTGTGTAGGATGTAATAATAATAATAATAATAATAATAATAATAATAATAATAATAATAATAATAATAATAATAATAATAATAATAATAATAATAATAATAATAATAATAATAATAATAATAATAATAATAAAGTGGTTTTACAGGAGAGCGCCAGCAGTGAAAATGAACAGTGCAAAATAGTTTATAACATGTAATTATAATTCTCACGGCAACACTCAGCATTGACACAGAGCCTAACAGATGAGTCACAGAGCACACACTGTTATGCAAGCAGTCTGACACAATCCCAGCAACACACAATAATCACCACAACACCTTAACACAACAATCCCAGCAACACACAACATAACCACAACACCTTAACACAATAATCCCAGCGGATGACCCAACAATCACAGCAGCAGTAGATCTGAGTTGCAGCTGCCCTGAGAGCCCCTTGTCTATACTGGTGTCGTCTCAACCGTCTGTAATTGGCTGGGGATTTGGCTGTCAGCTGAGTGAACAGGAGGTGTGTGAGCCCGTGACAGGGAACGTCAGGGACAGTTGATCTCATGTCTATATCAGCCATCCAGGTAAGGCTGTTAATTATAATGTGTAGAGGGAAGAGGACTCGCTAGGGCCTTACGAGTGTGTCCTTGTGTTAGAAGAGGGAAGATATGTGACTCTCTCTCTCTCTCTCTCCTCCTAGATGTCAGTAAGGCAGAGCGGGCGGGCTACTCCTCCCAGCCGTGCCCTATAACTTGCCTCCCTCGACCTGGTGAACACAGTAACTTTGTCCTCCATGACTTTTATATATCGATAAAGCAATGTTTACTATATCTCGGGTCAGATCCATAAATGAATCTGTACCTGTATCTGACATTTTCGGAAGTCGTTACGTTGATCTTAAAGAGACAGAGTGAATAAAGTAGTAAAATAGTTCTAGAGGTGAAGAGGGAGAAGGGGAAGACAGGATGGGAGGAAGCGAGGGGGAAGGGAAAGGGGGAGGGGATGGAGGAGGACGAGAAGGAAGGGAAAGGGGGGGGATGGGGGAGGGCAAGGGGAAGGAGGGTGTGGGGAATGTGAGTGGCAGGAGCAAAAGAGGGGGGAGGAAGAAGGGGGAGGGGATGGGGAGAGCGAGGGAGAGGGAAAGGGGGGAGGGTGAAAGGGGAGAGGGGAGAGGGGGGACATATCTGTTCTGAAGGCAGTGGAATTTCCAAAATTTTCCCCAGACGTTCCGAAGACGCTCTAGCCAGTATAGATCTAAAGGTCACCACCATTCATGTAATTTCCTTGAAAAATCACCCAGAATCTCTATGAATATCAAGTAATTATATAAAGAGGAAGGTTGATGTTTTCCTCCTGCACACTACCACCTGTACACTCAACAGTAGAAGGAGTACACTAACGGGTGCACCTCCTGAAGATGAAGGAACCTTTGGGTGTTCTGCCAAGGTGGTGGAATAGTCCCCAATATTTTCTGAAGATTAAAAACAACGTGACCAGCATATGTACATGGCCACCCTCCATCATAAATAGGAATAGGCTTTATAACATACATACATACATACAAACATACATACATACCTTAAAATCATCATAACAAGAGGTGTTCATATATCACCAAATCCAAAATATACAGAAACGTCGAACGAATAAGAATGTTCTCCGCAAAATATTCCCTAGCACAGCTTTTCTATATCAGCCAATACATCCCTTTAACAAATATTGATGAGGAAGTTTTCTATACGTCCACATCTACGTAAATCTCCATAACACGACCGTCCACGTGAAAGGCGGAGCAGGGGAGGGGAAATATATAGTACCAAGGAGCCGTAGGAATTTTACCGTGAAATATCTCCGAGATTATTGCTGGTTTTTGGAGGCTTGATTATAGGGAGGGAGGGAGGGAGGGAGGGAGGGATGGTGTGGGAGGGAAGGAGACAGTGGTGGTGTTAGTGGGAGGGAGGCAGTGAGCGGGAGGGAGTGATGGTGTGGGAAGGTGGGATGATGGCGTGGGAGGGAAGGGGGGGTGATGTGGGAGGAAGGGACTGGTGGTGTGGGAGAGAGGGAGAGAGTGGGAGGGAAGGAGTGACGGTATGGGAGGGAGAGAGATAGTATTGGTGTGGGAGAGAGGGAGTGAGTGGAAGAGAGAGAGGGATGAAGAGGAAGGGGGATGGTGTAGCAGGAAGGGATGATGTAGGAGGGAAGGAGGTAGTAGGATGGAGAGAGTGATGGTGTAGAAGGGAGGGAATGACTGAGTGGAAAGGAGTGAAGGAGGGAGAGGTAGGGATGGAGTGATTGATACTGTGAGAGGGACGGGGTGATGGAGTAGGAAGGAGGGAGAAATAGTGTAGGAGAAAGGAGGATATTGAGTGAGAGAGAGGGAGAGAAGGAGGGAGTTATTGAGTAGAGAGAGAGAGAGAGAGAAGGAGTTACTATATCTATATGTTACACAGACATACTCGGGGAAAAAGGTCCGCCCCCTCCCCTTCCTCTAGCAACATACTCTGATGGCAACACGCGCCATCTGGTAGTCAGCCCCGAGTTCAGGTGAATTAATTACACAGTTGGGATCATATGTGAAAATATCTACGTATCTCCTTCATTAACCCTTTAAGAGTTAGGGCGTTTCTCACAGTTGAATAACAATACCTTTGTGCGTAACGACTCCTAAAGGGTTAAGCATGATAGATTTTTAACCCATTGTACTTAATCTTTTATATCTTACTATTTTCCATAATTTTCGTGCATTTATTTGTCATTTGTCTTCCATTTTGCCTATCTCTCCCTTTTTCTTACATTGTTTTTTACAATTTATTTTTCTGATATTGCTGATATTACTAAAACAGAGCCACGTGCGGCCTTTGTGGCATTCACCCATGGAGTCAAGCATCGCTGGAATTACCTGATGCGCACTATCCCGGATATCGGACCCCTCCTCTACCCGGAAGAAGCCATCAGCGTCATTTTTTTTCCAAAATTAGTGAAACGCCATAACTAAACCCAGCAGAAGGGCACTCTTTGCACTACCACCGAGACTGGGAGGAATGGGATTAACCAATCCAGAGGAGCTTGCTGCCACCGAACATTAGAACTCAGTCACGCTCACGGCAGCCCTCACTGAGCACAAAATAGCCCAGAACGCAACAGGTGAGGTGGATACCAAGGAATTAAACAAGATTCGATAGTCCATTACGACAGATCGACAGCACACCCAAAGTGATAAATGCTGATGCTGTAAGTGCCATAGAACTTGAAAAAAAAGTATCTATAGCGCAGGAGGTGGGCGCCTCGAACTGGCTACCAACGTTACCAAAAAGGGCAAAAGGTTTCAGTCTAAATAAACAAGAATTCACAGATGCCATTGCTCTAAGGTACGGTAGGCCAGTTGAAGGTTTGCCCTCCCAATGCGTGTGTGGTTCTTCCTATGATATTAACCACGCCATGGTGGATCTCACAGCAAATATGTTGAAGGAAACCAGCAATGATGTCAGGGTAAAACCGCCCCTCCTTCCATTGGACGGTGAGATTTTCCATCACAGGACTTCAAACACATCCAACGAAGCTCGTGTTGACGTCAGTGTCCGAGGATTCTGGACGCGGGGACAGTGAGCCTTCTTTGACATAAGGATTTTCTATCCCATGGCCGCATGTCACCGTAACCTAGCTCGCGACGCTGCACACAGGAGGAACGAGAATGAAAAGATCGGTGCAAATGGGAAGAGAATTCTGAACGTTGATCAGGGCAGCTTCACTCCTCTGGTGTTCACAACCTCTGGTGGGGTGGAACCAAGTGCAAGATGTTTCTATGCCAGACTCGCGGAGGTGTAATCTGAACGGAAACAGCAGCCCAGAAGCTACGTTACAGCCTGGTTGAGAAGTCAACTCTCCTTCTCTCTGGTTAGATCTGCATTGCTCTGCCTCAGGGGAACGAGATCTTCGGCCCCAAAGCCGACAACTGCTGCAGATATTGACT